GTTCTACCCAGCAAATGAGTGCTGGTCCTGTGGCTGGGCCTGGGAGGCATGGCCATTCCCCTTGACATGTTCAGCATCTCGTCACTCGGTTGACACTTGAGGGTCCCTGCTGACTGACATTGTACTCTTTTTGCATTTAGTTTGTTCTGTGTCTTTATAATCTGTCTCTTAGCACTTCTTTTATTTCCCTTTTTAACCCCACCATTTTAACCCAAATGCCATGCTCCACCGTACTGGAGCACTACCACTTCACCGGTAGGTAATACATTTCTATTTCTCTATGTTCTTGTATAGATGGTTCCCCCTCTCTAGAATATATTCCTACTTCCTGCTCCATACAACCAAACCAAGGCATAGGACTATCACGGTAGAACTCTACAGAGAATCCCCTAACACTAGCTGCCTGCCCTTTTTCCCCTAGAAAGAAGAGACTGGCCAACTTTCTGGTTTCCCACATGACTTTATTCATACACATATAGCACATTCCATGATAATAAATAGAATATATTAGCTATGTAGTAATTGTCAACCACTAGCATTATCTTGGCTAATTTTCATTATCACCTTATGTAGTTAATAGTCTTATCCTCTTTCTATGCATGAGAAATCTGAATTACACAGTTTGTGTAAGTTTCTCAGTCATATTTGGCTTTTAAAGTGTCTTAGTCATCATCCAAAGTCAAAAATGTGCTTCCAGAATCATCTGTCTTAACTAGCTTGCTACTGTACATCTACAAACTGTGTTACAGGTAGTTATATATGTATACTCCATTATATCTTTTTTCCTGCATCTCAACTTTTTTTAAATTGGAGTATAGTCAGTTTACAATGCTGTGTCAATTTCTGGTATACAGCATAATGTTTCAGTCATACATATACATACATATATTCATTTTCATATTTTTCATTATAGGTTACTACAAGATATTGAATATAGTTCCTTGTACTATACAGAAGAAACTTGTTGTTTATTTTATATATAGTAGTTGGTATCTGCACATCTTGAACTCCCAATTTATCCCTTCCCACCCCCTTTCCACCCTGGTTACCATAAGTTTGATTTTGATGTCTGTGAGTCTGTTTCTGTTTTGTAAATAAGTTCATTTGTGTCTTTTTTTTTTTTTTAGATTTCACATGTGAGTACTATCATACGGTTGATATTATATGGCATTTTTTTTTCTCTTTCTGGCTTACTTCACTTAGAATGATGAGCTCCAGGTCCATCCATGTTGCTGCAAATGGCATTATTTTAGTCTGTTTTATGACTGAGTAGTATTTAATTGTATAAATATACTACAGCTTCTTTATCCAGTCATCTGTCAGTGGACATTTAGGTTGTTTCCATGTCTTGGCTATTGTAAATAGAGCTGCTTTGAACATTGGGGTGCAGGTG